GTTTCAATGTAAAAAAATAAAGTAATCTTTAACGAATACTAATATTTTACTACCTAAAAATACACTTTATTTGAAATATAAGAATAAATATATTTTTTATAACGTACTTGAAATTTTATAAAGATAAGGCAAATGTTATTGTAGACACTATTATAGATTTCTAGAATAATTTAATAATTTTTTTAAATTCCCTAGATAGTTGTATGTAAAATCAAGTATTTGGTTTTTTAATAAATTCTTTTTTTTTGACGAAAACAATTTCATTTCCTTCTTTGTCATAGGGCTTACCTGAACATGTCAAGCAGCTTATAAATAGAATGAAAGAGAATAAGTCCACTGCTCCTTTTCCTTCCCATCTCAAGAATTTCGCCAGAACTCTGCACTACCATTCACCAGCTGCTTACGAAATGGTAAGGCATAGTTTCTTAAAATGTCTACCATGACTTGGTTTTATTGTATGTTTACATAATTTATATTGCCTATGCGAATCACTTATTACAAGAAAAATAATCGATTACTTTTTATCGTATAAAATAAGTCAGGATCACGTTGAAATGTTTTTCGCATTGATAAGACGTAAGAATGGGTTTACAAGTAATTCAACTTCTGTGCAATTTCAATCGGGATACAAAAAACTTATGTTAAATTATATGAACGTGACAGTACCAACTTCGGCCAACTGTACTCCTCAGGACATGATATTGATGATAACCAACGTAAATGATAAGTCTTCCATAGCTGTAGGTGATACGAAGAATGAAATTGAAAATAAAAAAATGAATTCTACTCATTCGTTGAATTAGTAAAACTTTTCCGATACAAACTTTTTTGCACAAAAAGTTTGAATTGTCTGACCATGATTACTGTAATGAAGGAGAATCGGTACAATCAGAATATCTTGATGATATAATTAGACATACAGCTGGTGCTGTTGTTTATTCTATCAAACGAAATGTTCATTGTACAGAATGTAAAAAAATTTTAGAAGGCTTAGCTACAAAGCGTTCTAATTTAACAACTTTGAAAAATAGAGGGGGCTTAAATAATGCGTCTGATGACGTTTTCACAGTCTGTTACAGCACAGAAAAAATATTACGACGTTTTAAACAAGAATTGTTGGCTAAAAATATTTACGTCAAGATTGTTTCAGAAACATTGCAAAAATTGCCTACTAATATTTTCAAAAATGACGTACACAACTTTGAACAAGAACCACTGCAAGATCATCGTCAGCAATTAATGTATCTCATTATTCAAAATTATTTGGATAAACGTCTTAAACATGAAAATGATAAGCTAGGAGATTTGAAATTTCGGGTTCGCATGCGTAATAATAAAATGACAATTTTTAAGAGTGAATGATCTATCCGTTTTATGTTTGGTCTAAAACAAATCATTGCTTCTAAGAATTTTCAACATTGTAGTAAGTTAAACCAAAGTTAATTAAGTCGTACTTTCATTTGTACCTCGATTAATTTATAAGTGTTGTTATAATTGTAATGTGTTTTACCAAAAAAAAATGTATGTTACGTAAAGAAAGAAGCTCATTGTCATAAAAAATGTGCATATTGTCCAAGTTCAATAGTAATAAGCTACGTAATTTTTTAATTATCGTTTCGTTACATTATTAACTATTGAATATACTATAATGTAATTAATAATTGTTCTAATAAAAATGTTAATAATTTAAATTCAACTTTCGTGTTCATGTTACAATTCTTTTCATTTTTAAATCAACAATAAAAAAAAAAAAAAAAAAAAAAAAAAAAAAAAAAAAAAAGTCTCGA